TACCCCCCCCCCCCCCCCCCCTTTCAGAGGAAGAAAGTTAACGTGGACTGATCGGTTATGGTGTATCAAGGTTGGTAATTCATATTGTTTTTGGTCTTCGGCCGCATGACGTCCAACTTCTTGTGCAGAACTTTTTCAACTTTATGCTCCAGTTCTCTGTGGAGAATTATTACCATTTTCTTATTGTTAGAAAAAGTACTATAGCGCCCGGTAACCACAAGTCCGCGCTGGAGAAACGTTGCTCCCGTTGATACATTTCGCTAAATTAAATAAGCCCCCTCCCCCTCTCTTCCAAGCCCCCTCTCCAAAGCACATGAAAAAAATAAGCCCCCGCCGGGGGGATTAATAGAGAATTTACGGACAAATGAGCGACTTCTGTGTGTCTCCGAGGACATAGTCCACGGAACACCTCGTAAATACGGTCACTTCATATGGGCTCCTTAGTGTCGGTATTAAAAAACGGTTTAACTGTTTTATTTAATAATAGCTTCAATTCAGCCTTATCGTCAGTTTTCGCCTTAGTGTTGAACTAAAGGCAACTGATTCCTTTTCCTTTATAGAAATCAAAGACGCCAACACAGAAAAATGAAGTGAGCTAGAAAATCTTGCAGCGAACAACATGAACAAGCCTAGATTTTACCACGCCTAAGAGCGGAGCTCCATTAATAATAAATAACCATTTAGTTGTTCATTAATAAACTTTAAACCGTTTCAAAGAAATTTAAAGAACCAGCAACTATCATTACATTAGTTGATAGCACTTGATTGTCACAGCAATCTTTCGAGTTATCAGGAACAGAAAATCAGAATGGGCTATTCTTACAGTTGTGTGCCCAGTGCCCTGGCTTTTGAAGTAATGTGAGGCTGGAGGCGACCTTGCTTTGTCACAAACTTAACTGCTTTTTATCTGCACATTGTGTTATTCTCATATAAACAAGCCCGTGAACAGGCTCATTTGCTTGTGAAAACAGGACGATTTGCAAAAAAAAAAAAACAAGGTCACTTCCAGCCTCGCCCCTATCCAAAGGCCAGAGCACTCAGCGCGAAACAGCAAAAATGGTCTTCTGCTTTTTTCACACACTCAGGCAGTGAAGAGTATCATCCTCAAAAACTTCCATTTTTCTAAAACGATCCCAAAATTGACAGAATGATTTCGAAAACGCCGTTCTTTCCAACTTAACTTTAAGTCTTAAAACTTTTAACAAAAAATTGGGACCTCGTGTATTAAAAGAGACAAATTCAAAAGAATTGAAAAAAGAGAGCATTCATATGTACCTTACACCTATTGGTGCATGGATCAAATTTCTTTGAAACTGATTTAAGAACACAACGTTTAGGGAAATAACTTCATCCATTCTGTGCACAAAATTCAAAAAATCTTCAAAAATTACTCTATACCTTACAGCTAAAAAGATGGGCTAACATTTGATCACTTTAATTTATAGCCGTGAAAAAGCAAAGCTATTTTTAAAAGAAGCATAAAAGACTTGGCTACCACGTAAAATCTTGAACTGTCACATCAAAAGTTTGTGAACCCAACCCCATACTCGCCGAGTCTACGCCGGCGCCGGCTTGGCTACGTCCAAGTAGTAAGTTGAACGCGAATGTCCCCAGGTTTTGTCAATCCCGGTAGGCATGAAGAATATACATGCTGGAAATCAAAGCTAATTTCACCGCTCGCCTCCTCTCACATCATCTTCTTCATAACATGGCTGACACTGGAGGGTAAACGAAAAGCAGTGGCCGACTTTTTTGCTTTCAAGGAGAGAACGTAACAACTTTCCTCTACAGCAGGTGAAACACACTATTTTTTCAACCTCTCCGTTTTTTAATTACCTGGGGGCACATGCAGTCCTGAAGTACCTATTTCACTAAGTACCTCCTAGGTTCGAGCCACGTAAAAAGAAATACGCATACACTGAATAACGTAAATGACTGTCCATGACTTCATTTATTGAATTTATAAATACGTCTATCTCAGTCGGGTAAATACAGGCATCAGTAAAATAAGCAGAGAGGCAGTCATTACACAACCTAAAAACCAAACAAGTAAAAAATCACTTTTATAATGTTACGTTCTCAAATTGCTAGAGCAAATATTAAATTAGAGATCTTCATAGGTATAGTACACTGCCGCCAAAAAAAATCCGTATCATTTTCAAAATCTCTTTTAATTGATTTGCATTTCATATTTTTTATCAGCTTCATTTCCAGGCAAAATTATCCTCCTTTTTTACCTATCGCCTAATAGCCTCATGCCCCCACAGGTTCAGAACGCTCGTGTCCTCTCTTCCCATGATGCCTTGCGCAGAACGACTTACATTTTTCATGGGATTTGGGTTTTTTCAAGGGTTTGAAGTATCAAACTCAGATACTTGAGGTCTGAATATATTTTCCATTTATAAAACATTTACAAGTTATTTTTGATTGCAAAATGCCCATCAGCCAAATACGAAGATGTAGTGGTTTCTTATTACGATAGTCAGACGGTTTTTCTTCTTAATTTGACCATGAACATGTTACTGTGGCTCAATATTATGCTTGCAACACAATGTTTCGGTCGACTTTGTCAATCCCCAAGGCATGGCTATTCTAGGAAACTTCACGTGTGGGATATATACACCGTGTTTTACGACCACTGTACTTTTGACCTACACACCTATAAGACAAGCCCTAACAAAGGCTTTCCCTAATTCAAACTTAGTCAACATCATTTGTTTACCTTGCTGCCATTCAATTTTCATGATTAAAAAGTTTATTTCTCCGGCTAAAGAAGACATTCCGGTACCTGCAGGAAAAAAAGGAGGTTGCTTGGTTATGTAAAAACCTCGATAATATTTTTTTTCTAGTTTGTTTTAAAAAGAAATGACCATTGTAACAAAAACAACTCATTCAGGAAAGGAGTAACAGAACAAAATCATTTTCTTTTTATAGAAACTCATGTGTAAAATGAGGCTTGATTTCTAACTGCTGTTTCATAAAATGAGCCTCCAATTCAGTGGAGAAATGTCTGAAGTCGCAATTTTATTTCCTCCAGTCAAAATCTTTCCTGCTTAACTTGACCTAGGTACAATTGATCACCAAGTGCCCACTTCAAAGAACAGGTAAATTTGATGACTTTGTTCGTTAGGGCGCCCAGGCTCTTGAAAGTGTTCTCGTTCTTCGTTTGTTTCAGGTAACATTTTAGGTAAAGGAAGAACTGGCCAAAACGAGACCGTAAGGCTCTATGATAAGTAAGAAACAACACACAAACACCAAATTAAAGTGAACCTTAACGGATGCAATATTTTCATTCTCATATTAGTTCGCTTTGAAGATCAGTGGGAAGTTACATGTAAAGCTTGTATTTTGCCGTCCAAGTGAACGTTTTCAGAGCATGGAAGACCTGTGTGTGTATTAACTTGGTCGTAATTACCCATGTGAACATGTAGCTCGAGCAACCAATACAGGACACCTAACAATTCTTTCCACCTACCGCGTTATTCAAGGCTTGATCCAAATCTTCAATTAAATCCTCAGTGTCCTCTAAGCCCACAGACAAACGTATCTAAAATACAATGCAATGATCATGATCAGCCAGGTAGCTTCCCTGTCAAGTAGTTCACTAGTTCACTATTAAAATTGACAGAGAACGGTCAACTCTAACTTCCTCAGCAACAAGCTATCGAGAACATACGGTCGATGAACCACAGACAGACCACTGGCTCATACTAGACTTCGAATGGCAGTCTCAGTGGTCTTCGGGGTCAACGCTAAAACTAGTAATTCGACGAGTGAATGTGCTAACAGCTAAAAAAGAAATGTAGGCGAAAAAGTTTTTTAAGAAACATAAGCAACCACCGTCCGAGTCAGTGGTTGAAAATTAACAATACAGTTAACTTTTCTTCAGTAACACCTTCGGCAAGAAATAGAAATCGAGAAAGACAACAACCACTAAAATCAGAAATATCTCCACCGCAAAACCTAGTATGAGGCAAGGTACATTGCTTTTTGCATACTATCATTTTCTGCAAAAGGTCCGCCGCCTGGTTGACAGTCCGCCTGGTTAGCTAAGTTGGGAGAGCGCCGGTCTGCTGAGCAGGAGGTCGCGGACTCAAACCCCAGCCGAAACAACTCTCAGGGTGTTTAAATAACTGAGGAGAAAGTGCTGCCCTTGCGATGACATCTGCAATCGATTAGACTCAAGTTCTACTCTTCCCGGATAAGGACGAAAAACTGTACGTCCCGCTTCACAGCACTTTCACTTATCTGGTTCTTGTGGGACGTAAAAGAACTCACACTGCTGTTCGAAAAGAGTAGGGGACTTAGATCCCGGTAGGTGTGGCCAACCTCTCCTGGGCTGGGTGGGTTATCTGTAAGGACACACTTAAATTGGAGCCCCGCTTTGTTGTGTGTTCCGCACCACGGGGTGGAACTGATTGAATAAATAAATAAATAGATAAATAAATAGAAAATATGTATACTTTAACTTCGAAACTAAAGCAAAACTTTAGAAACGAGAACCAAGCTGGGCCCACTTTACCTTTCGCAAAGATTTCTGGAATTATTTCTGAGTCGAGCCCCAGGAAACACCTAAGTTCTTCTTTAAAATCCCTTACGTTGGGTACTTCTCAGTCGTAACTCATTTATTTTTTTTTTGTTTTAGTACGCAATATTGACAACGCAATGTAACGAACTTTGTAAGATCGCGCGCGCTTTACATTCAACGTCGATTTCAAAATACGTAACACTGAAGATGACAGATGTACCGTCGAAACATGTCTGGAAAATTAAAGAAAGTTGTTATGTTTTTACGACGTTCCAGAAGTCTTTGCGAAAGTTAACACAGGCTAGATTCCTTTTCGTTTGTACAACTCACCGGTGTGTCTGATATTCCCAGGACTTCCCTCTGCTCTTTTGGGACTGATGCATGAGTCATAATTGCCCTGAAATATCAAGTGACTTGTCTGTTTAGCGATAGAAAGTCTAAAGGTTAGTTTGGGAAGGCCCAAATGGCTCTTCAAAGGCATACATATCGCACCTAAACCACTGCAAAGTCATGGAAAACAATGTATAACAGGATCACAACCGATCACTGACCAGAAAAAAAGGGAGCTTAAGTAACCATGACAACGACGACTTGAAAAAACAATTGGTTTTATAAGTAAAACAACAGCTCTGTAAGTGCATCACGCTTTTTAGTACATATTTCTTTGACGGCCACTACACAAGTACAGTGTACGGCGTGAAACTCCCTCATGCGTTTATGGAGGACGCGAATAGATGTCCACATGTCCATTTCTGAGCGAACGCGAACTATTTCCTGCTTATATTAATCATTTACGCTTCTGCAATGAAACTGCGCGGAAATACTTTCTACAAGCTTCTTAAACCACAAAACTAGAGCCAGTTTGCTATACAACAACACTCTTGATGTAAAAAAAAACACATCTAGATTCACTGTAAGTGGCTGAACTTGACTAAGACGTTTATTGAAAGACCGTTTTCACTCTCTAGTAAGATGTTCTTTAGGGAAGTGTCATATTTCCTCTCCTTAGACCTACCAATATCTAGCTAGAGTCTGAATCTTACTTGTATGTGAGAGACTTTTGAAACAAAATGTATCTAGTTTCAAACACAAATAAATCACATGACTGACTCTTTGTTAATCACGCTACATTTTGTAAGTTATCTTCTCCAAAATGCATTTTTCAACTGCAACTTCAAAGCTGACATTACAAGGGGCCATTTTAACAGTGACATGCTATAAAATGTTCTTTAGTGGTCACAAAACTAAATGAAACACTTACGGTAGTTCCGTTAAACTTTCAAATCCTCCTAAACTCTTAGCAAGAGTAAACAACTGAAATTAAAAAGGATCGATATTAGAGACCTTCAGATTCGAGGACGACGACGATGACCACGTGATTTGACTTAACCCTTTAAGTCCAAATAGTGACCAACATCAATTTTCTCCTCACAATATCTATACACTGTAAAGAGCAAAGTCTTTGAGAATTAATAAATTGATCAGAATTTGATCTTTTTTCAAATTCTCTCAACTATTTTTTTAAGGAAATGTATGGAGATCAATCTGGAGAATTGGTATGTTTATATCGGGGCTAAAACAAAGAGTTAAAAAGACACCCTGAAAAGCGTCATTTTACTTGTTTGCACCAGAAAAGTTATTTTTACTGAAAGAGGTAGAGCCCTCTCCAGATCCGCGCTAAATGATAAAACTTCTAGCATTCGAAAACTTGTTCTCGCTACCACAACATTATCCTAAGACCCGTAGTACAATGAAGACGGCTATCATGTTTGCCCGTTAAAGTTAATTGTAAAATGATGCTGGATCAAGCTCGCGCACTACTTAATAAGTACTGAGAAAATCTCACTCTCGTAGTCGTCCAGGAATGTACCAACCTCGTCCCCAGGGCTTTTCCCTTAAAAAACGGGTGGGAAAAGTTCTGGGGACGAGGTTAGGAATGTACAGGAATATTATCCTTGTGAATTGGGGATGAAAAACAGGGGCTTAATGTGACTTCCAAACCAAATACTTTAAAGAGATTGGTAGCTAATTGAGGAGGAGGCGGGCAGGGGGTGAGTATTAAGTTTCAACCAAAGCGGGGATGTATTGATCATCATAAAATTTGGTTTCCAAAGGCCGTGGGTAGTTTTATTAGAGAGGGGTTGTTAATTGAAAGAGGAAGGGCTTATAAAAGGCTTTTAACAATTATGGAGAATAAGGTTTGTCTGATAGGGGGTTTATCTTGCTGCAGAGGACTGCCAGTATTCAAGATGAGAAAAGACTAACTACAGATATGGGAGGAGATTTTCTGGAGAAGAAAGGCTTTTATGACACCCTGCTCGGTAGAGGGTGCTTATTGGAGAAGTAAGTGTGGCTACTAGAGAAGGGTATATTATTGCAAAGGAGCGGGGCGAATTTATGGCTGTTGCATATTAGGGGTAATCACGACATGAATATATTATAAATAATAAGAAAAACCAACATGACAACAATCAGGCTTCTATTATTTCGGGCAACCAAAGGAGCGCACAATTCATCTCCAAGATGCTATAATTATGCACGCGTGGCACGTTGTAGGTAGCAGTCCTTTGGCCTTCCACTAACGATAAATGGAATACACAGAACGCAATCTGATCACGTACGCTTTGACCTTCTATCTTGTCACACTAACTTTGTCTTATCCAAAGCACAGCACTGAGCAAGCAGCGTTTCGTCGCATCAATCTCGGTTGCACTCCCTTTCCTTTTACTATTGCTACGCTCTACTAATAACAGTAAATAACAGAAATATACCTTGGACGATTTAAAAAATTGTTTGGCATTTTCCAAATCTCCCTTGATGGAGAAGGTCACCATTCCACCAAAGCCTGTCATCTGTTTCTTAGCAAGTTCATGCTGTGGATATGATTCAAGGCCTACATTGTGAAACAGTCACACATTAGCGACTTAAATACGTACTAATTTCTCCTTAAAACTTCTTAATGCCTTTTCTTTGTATGGTTTTCTCACCATATAATTTTCAATAATTGTGTAGCCTGAGTAAACAGCTGCCATTTCGCCATGTCACCAATGGTTTCCAGGTGAAATGCCGTCTGAGGAACGAGCGTCGAAATTCCATACTGATGACGTGTCACTACCAAGATCTGGGTAGCCCTTCCGATTGGCT